GTGAGTGAGGTTAACATTAGGGTGACCCCGTTAATTAGGGCAGGTTAATTACAGCCCTTCTGCCCCTTTACTCATACAATGAGGAGAACATTTCATTTCCCCTGCATTCAATACTAAAGTGAATTTTAACCCCAAATAGGCAAAACTGATCATTTTGTCAATGTAGGTCTGACTGCTGATACCCTAGGTAAAAAAAGTGTGTGTATCCAAACAGTCTGCTCCTGAGCTCTTTTCCCCCCAGTTTATCACTAGATGTCAGGGGAGAGCTCATTTTGACCCTGCTTACATATGTTCGATGCAATAAAGAAGCAGGAGCCAGTGGAGAGATGTGAAGAGAGGGGTGATATGGTCAAGTAATAGGCTAGGAGATCCTTGCATCAGCATCGTGACTGGATACGATCAGGGCAAGATTGCATTTGTCAAGGCCAGAGAGAAGGATGTTGCAGTGATCTAGATACAAGATGATGAGAACCTGGACGAGAACGATTGCCTTGTCGGTAGTTAGGAAAGGCTGTATCTTAGAGATATTATGCAGAAAGAATTGGCAAGCTTTAGACGTAGCCTGGATGCAAGGACTTAGAGAAAGATCTGAGTCAAAGATGACACCCAGATTATGGGCCTGAATGACAGGGAGAATGGTGATGGAGGTAGGGTTTGTGGGAGACTAAGAGCACGGTTTTAGCCAGGTTGAACTTGATCTGACAACTAGACATCCATGAGGAGATATCAGAGAGACAGGCCAATATTTTGGTTTGGACAGAAGGAAACAGGTCTGGAGTAAAGAGGTAGATCTGTGAGCTGTCATCATAGAGATGGGAGTTGAATTTGTGTTTGCAGATTGTAGGTGAGATTATCCAGAAAGGGAGAACAAAAGTGAACCAAATATAAAGTTCTGTAGAGCCCTACACAAAACTGGAGGGAGAATGAGATGGATCCTCTGGAGGACATGCTGAAGGAGGGATTAAAGAGGAGGAGGAGGAAGACCAGGAAAGGACAGAGTTACAGAAGCCAAGGGGAGGACAAGATTTCACAAAGAAGAGGATGGTCAACTGTGTCAAAAGCAACGGACAGGTCAAATAGGACGAGGATGGAGTACTAGTTCTGACCTTAAGCTAGGAAAAGATCATTAGAGACTTTGGCAAGAGTTGATTCAGTGGAATGCAAGGGGTGGAAGCCAGACTGAAGAGGGTTTAGGATGGAACTGGAGGAGAGGACCTTCAGACAATGACTCAGAACAGCTTATTCTTATCTTAGAGATAACTGGAAGGAGTGGCAGTAGTAGAAGAAGCAGGGGTGGGTTTTTTTTTAAGATTGGAGAGACTAAAGCATGTGTGTATTGTGAACCAGAGGAAAGTGAGAGGTGAAGGAGAAGAGATGGGGAGGGTGAGAATGGGCATGAGGGAGCTCAGTTGATGGGATGCGGTCACTGAGGCAAGTAGCTGGGTTAGAGGAGGAGAGCAGATGAGGAAGCATCTGCAATTGTGATGGGAGAGAGTTGTAAGAGGGGAGGGGAGAAGATCACTTTGAATTTTGTTCAGTTTTGTCTTGGAAGAAATCAGTAAGCTATGTGGAGAAAGAAGTAGAGGCAGGAGGAGGGTTTGAGGAGTGACTGAAAGGTGTCAAAAAGGCAGCTGGGATTGAGGACCTGAGATTCAATTAAGTTAGCAAAAAGTTGTTTAACTAGGAAGATGGCAGAACTGAAAGAGGAGAAAACAAATTTGTAGGGGAGGAAGTCACCTTGTTCCTGAGATTTCTGCAGCGTGAGAACAGGAGCAAAGGAAGCAGGTGTTGGGGGTGAGCCAGGACTAGGGGTTGGCAGGTTTGACCTTGTGATGAAAGAGTGGGACAAAAGAGTCAAGGGTGGAGGAGAGTGAAATATGGAGAGAATTAACAACCATATAAATGAAAGAAAGTGAAGAGAGGGCTGAGAGCAGACGAGAAGTCACAATGATGGATTGGAAGTTATGTAAATGCCAAGTGACAGGGCATGAGGGAGGGGGCTAATGGGTGATCTAAAAGAGACCAGGTGATGGTCAGAGGGGGGGAATTCAGCAACAGAGAAAGAGAGAGTGGTGCCCCTTTTTAATGAGATTTGAGCCATGGTGCAGATCAAATGAAGGGGTGTGGGTGAGGTAACACGCAGCTAAGGGGTTGGATGGGTTATCAACATGGAAGTTGAAGTCACAGAGGACGAGGGTGGGAGACTGTGAGGAGAAGACAAGAAACAGCAAGGAGCTGAAATCAGAGAAGGCTGATGGGGAGGAGTTGGGTGGATGGTAAATGACAACATGAAGGGGTATGGAAAATTGGCTGCGGTGCTGCTCAAAAGAGAAGAGAGTGGGAAGTGCGGGGAGGAAAGAGGGTATTTTTTTCCAAATAGATAATTATTTTATATGTAATAGTTATTTACTCAAGGATTTCCTCCATGTAAATAAAGTTATATGCCATAATACTACTTAACTTCTTGACTTTCAAACCCTCCGACTTCTAACCTCTATGGGCTTGACTCTACAATGTATTGAAGTCTAAGGAAGTTTTGATATTGACTTCATTGGGAATAGGATCGGACTTTATACAGACAAATAGGAAGACTGAGCCAATAAAGTGGTGTCCTGTAATCCAATGATAAAGTTTTCATAAAAATAGGAAGCTTTTAGTTTTCCTCTTAATTACCAATAAGTTATCCTTAAGAGAGACAATTGCTATTTTCATTCACGCATGCTTCTTTATTACTGAACAGTTAGGTGTCCGGTGGCCCTTAAAGATTAACAGATTTATTTGGGCATAAGCTTTCGTGGGTAAGGGATATTTTACCCATGAAAGCTTGTGCCCAAATAAATCTGTTAGTCTTTAAGGTGACACCGGACTCCTCATTGTTTTTGCGGATACAGACTAACATGGCTACCTCTCTGATACTTGTACAGTTAGGGTATCTCAAAAAACTTAACAGAGTGTCGGTTGAAACTTTCAAATCTAGTAGCCTAAAATTGGGTTCCTGAATACATATTTAGGTGCTCAAATACAAGTGGCTGTATTTTCAGAAATGCTAAGCAATGACTCACTAGTCCTGTTGAAGTCAGTGGGAGGAGCAAGAGTTCAGCACCTTTGAAAAGTCAGGAAACCTTTATTTAATTGCCTAATTTTAGGCACCAGGTTTGAAAATTTTGGCCTTACTTTCTGCATCATATCAACTCATGACTGAACAGCAGGGTCAAACCATCCTTGCCCATAATGAATGAAGGACAAAATATGTATTCATTTCTATATTATTTTTTTATTAAAAATCACTTCTAAACCACAGTAGATTTATACTGCACTCTATAAACATTATCTCTGCCTCAAAAAGCTTACAATCTAATTGTATGTACTAAAAGCCCTGGGGAAAAATAAAGCATTGTGTTTTATTAATATTGTATGTCAGTGGTTGTCAACCTTTTCCATAACACAACCCCTTTCTTCCATACTAGATGAACTGGGAATATCCTCCCATTTAGTCAGGACCTAGGTGAGACCACACTCTCCCATATTAGCAGGGTCGCCATTTCCCAGATGCCTGTTTATTACATACTTGAGTAAGACAACTTAATTTGGCCAAATTGTGATCTCATTTACACAGGTTTAAACCTGTATTAACTCCAGTTATTTCACTGGACTTAGTTTGGTTTATCACTGGTGTGACTGGCATCAGGATCTGGCCCATTGCCTTTTCAATACTGTACCCGTTAATTGAAATGTATGATGCAATCCTTTACCATCCAGATGGATATGAAACTGTAAATGACGAGGATAATGAATCAATCACCCTGAACAAAGGATAAGGCAATCAATTCTAATATGATGCAGAGAGTGGTACTGGATAACCTACTAGAGTTCTCTTCCAGCCCAAATGATTCTTTCATAGAATATCAGGGTTGGACGGGACCTCAGGAGGTCATCTAGTCCAATCCCCTGCTCAAAGCAGGACCAATCCCCAACTAAATCATCCCAGCCAGGGCTTTGTCAAGCCTGACCTTAAAAATATCTAAGGAAGGAGATTCTACCACCTCCCTTGGTAACGCATTCCAGTGTTTCACCACCCTCCTAGTGAAAAAGTTTTTCCTACTATCCAACCTAAACCTCCCCCACTGCAACTTAAGACCATTACTCCTTGTTCTGTCATCAGCTACCACTGAGAACAGTCTAGATCCATCCTCTTTGGAACCCCCTTTCAGGTAGTTGAAAGCAGCTATCAAATCCCCCCTCATTCTTCTCTTCCGCAGACTAAACAATCCCAGTTCCCTCAGCCTCTCCTCATAAGTCATGCTTTCCAGCCCCTAATCATTTTTGTTGCCCTCCGCTGGACTCTTTCCAATTTTTCCACATCCTTCTTGTAGTGTGGGGCCCAAAACTGTACTCCAGATGAGGCCTCACCAATGTTGAATAGAGGGGAACGATCACGTCCCTCGATCTGCTGGCAATGCCCCTACATATACATCCCAAAATGCCATTGGCCTTCTTGGCAACAAGGGCACACTGTTGACTCATATCCAGCTTCTCGTCCACTGTAACCCCTAGGTCCTTTTCTGCAGAACTGCTGCCTAGCCATTCGGTCCCTAGTCTGTAGCGGTGCATGGGATTCTTCCATCCTAAGTGCAAGACTCTGCACTTGTCCTTGTTGAACCTCATCAGATTTCTTTTGGCCCAATCCTCTAATTTGTCTAGGGCCCTCTGTATCCTATCCCTCCCCTCCAGCGTATCTACCACTCCTCCCAGTTTAGTGAGGAATATAACCAATCAATTTAAATAATAAGTGCACTTGAAACAAAGCAGGTAGTTTGCACAAATGTCAAAGGATAGTAAAAACACCAGGAATTGCCATGAAAGTATATTGCCTGCACTGGAAGTTTTCAGGGATTTGGTATATTTTCACTGTACAGAAGGGGCTACAATATGTTATTTTCCATGTGTCAGTCTCTTAATTCATAAGAAGTAGTGTTATTTCTTCTTAACAAGAATGCTAGCTATGGGTATAGGGGTCGGGACTGTCGCAGTAACCTATACCTACTTCCAACGGGTGAAACTGTGTATTTCATTGCATCAGTAGTTGTGTTATACAATGTTGAAGAACAACTTCAGAGACATTACACTGGTCACAATGATGATGTGAAGTGGTAAGTCTCCAAAACGTTCTTATTTTTTATAGAAATGGGGTTCTGGGAAATGCTAATGTTGCCTTTAAAAAAAAATAATTAATGTTCTTTCCTCTCTGAAAAGAGAATTCTCGTAATTTAACCTCTAAATCTTCATGTGTTAGGTGTTTGTTATCTAAGAGCCTGCCTATTCTCTTGGCTCATCTGATAACTCTGCATTTCCTTCCAGAAGATCTACTTCTATAAACATTAGTTTATAGAAGTCCATCTATCACCATAGTATTTATGTGCTTTTTATTCTAGGTCTGAACAAAGTGCTGGCACAGAGTGGTTATAAAGTGCAGTTTCAGTTTCCTATGTTTGGTTCCCATAACTAGTCTCTCTTTACATACTTAGAGAAGGCGGAAAATCTAGATGTTTGAGTTTGGTGTTAGACCTGCTTACCTTCAGGTTCTGTGGTCTATTTGTCTATATTCCCCTCCCTTATGTCTTTGTTGTTAAGATAATTTGGTCATGACCTAAGATGCTAACAATAGTACTGATAATGGAATCTGGTTGCAACCTTAACTATATAGGGCCATGAACATGCTCCATAAAATGAATTCATCGCATAGCCTCGTGGTTTTACTGTGAGATTTTAACTTGGATTTTGATTAACTGTTCTATCTCATCTGTCTTTTTCAAACTCTCCTGCTCCTTTGATTTTTTTCAAAGCATTCAGGGTTTTAGAGAGTGGGTAATATTCTGTATTGAAAGTAGAGTGAATTCCTTATCCCCTAGCTGTCAAAGTTCATTTTGCTTGGCATTCTGTCTCCAGGACTAAATGAGAAGCAGCTGCAATGAAAGAAGAATTAAATTATTTGCAGTATTGCTTGCTCTCGTCTTAAACAATACATTGACAATTTTCTCTTGGGTACAGTGGTAATTGCTGAGTACATTTTGTTTATCCGAACAGCTGATTCTATGGGTCAAATGGTTTAATTTCTTAGTTCTGGAATTCTATTTCTGAGACTTACATTCACTGACCTAAAATTTGTTCCCTTGTAGAATTTTGAAGCGGATAACAATAGTATTTTTCCAGAGGAAGGGGAAGGATAATCAAAGCCTAAACGCGATAAAAAGAACTGAGTAGTACTGTACTGTATATTAAGATACTGGAAGGGCACAAACAAATCACTCCCTGGTTGTAGTGTCTGAGTTGTAGTGACAGAAGAGTTTGGGGAATAAAAAGTCATGAAAGTAGTTTTGTCTCTATTTTGGGGATACATTTTTTAGATGATACATTCCTATTATGCATTTATATAACTGAAGTAATAAAACTAACTCCATAGACTCTTGTTTTAGTCTGCATGGAATTTGGCATTTGTATGTTACAATATATCATCAATGCTTTAAACATGAAGGTTGACAACTTTTTCTTTTCCAGCCTAGCTGTCCATCCTGACCGGATCACCATAGCAACAGGTCAGGTTGCAGGTACCTCTAAGGATGGAAAAGTGAGCAAACCTTTTGTTTACAGTAACATATTCATATTTCACAAGAGTGTATTTATTCTAGACATATTACTGTATTGTAGTTAGTGGTATGTTACCTCTGTGCAGTAGTTAAATCACCCTTAAATTTTAAAAATTAAAAATGCAAAGCATTATACTCTTAATTTAACAGAAGCTAATTGAATGATGCCAGGGTAGCCAATGGAATTGTCACGTTCCATCAGCTAGTTCCATTTCTTGATGCTGTCTGTCTATCTCTGACTCTCCAGCTCCATTCCTTACAGAGACCATGAGGAGGTTTGGAGGTGGGCTCCAGACGAGAGATGGGACCAGGAGATCCAAAATTTTGATAGCTGTGTTTGTCTTGTTTTTAAAAATAATCCACACTGTTATTTGAAAGAAGCTGAATTTTCTTTAAGAGATAGTTTTATTACTTAATGATCAATAAGAGATCAAGAGTAATAATTGGGCCTGATACAGCATTAAAATGTCAATTGACTTAAAAGTTTTATACACACACACACACACACACACACACACACACACATTTTAGAATTTGGCCTTCATTTATTAGTCTATTGTATAGGTAGAATAAATTCCATACAGTTCTTCCTACTTGCTTTGAGGTAATATTTTTAATCAACACATGTTTACAGGGACTGCCCTCTAGTGGATTTAAGAAGCATTTAAGTCTCCATCATATTGAGCAATGTGCTCTATTATCTTTGTATTACTGTAAGTGATTGTTAGGAGAGAACTTTAAACATGTACATTGGACATGCAAATAATTTTAATTATTCATATATTGAATTGATTTTAAGCTAAACAAAGATGGTTTTGACCAATGTTATAAAAAGGGAGACTAATAATAAAGTCCTTTTCTATGGCCAACTTTCCACTGTAGTTGAAAGTAATTACGAAGTTGTTTACACACATAACTGATTTTCTTGTTTTTGCTTATTGTTCATTGGTCATTTGATACCAGCTAGAAACAGTATAATGTTTGCTGCCATTAAGACTCTGTGACCTTGGAGCAGGACTTGGAATGGGCTAATTGTAGATCTGATCTTGCAAGTGGGAGGTGTTAAGGTGCTTAACACCTCCCACTTAGCACTGGACACCTGGGATTTGAGGATGCTCTTTGCCGTGCCGCATTAATCCCAATGACTAGGCATATGTCTGGATATTACTGGGTCATTTGCTAGCCCATCTGTCATTATACAGCAGAAGAACTATATTGGTGTTACCAGCAATAATGATATTAAATGTTGCTAACATGGGTTTTCACGTATTTTAAAATTTTAAGAAATGCTGATACTCTTTCCCAACATTTTTTTTCAGTTGTTGTTTCTGTTTTAATTTTTTACAGCAATTACCACCCCATGTACGTGTTTGGGACTCTGTTACTTTGAATACACTGCATATCATTGGGATGGGCTTTTTTGACCGTGCTGTCACCTGCATTGCTTTTTCTAAGTCTGTAAGTAAATGCATGCATAAAGTGTTTGTGTGCTGTGTGTATAGTTAAATTATTTAAAGTTTCATATACACAGCATTCTGAAATAATTGAGGGCTAAATCTTGTACTACTCAAGCAAAACTCCACAGTTTACTTCAATCTGTAGGATTTGGATCTAAAGATTTTAATTGGAAGTAGAATAACATTTTTCACTTTCAGTTAGGCAGTAGTGTTTAATGACTTATCCATTTGTACCTACCCATTTCTGAATTCTTTTATAAATGACTTTTTAAATGTTTTGCTTCAGAATGGAGGAAGTAACCTTTGTTCGGTGGATGATTCAAATGACCATGTGCTTTCTGTATGGGACTGGCAGAAGGAAGAGAGGCTGGCAGATGTCAAGGTGTTGCAATAAGATATTTTGTGCAGTAAAATGCTTGCTTGTATGTAGATTTGAATTTTTGTCATCAAATGTCTTTCTGTACCTTTTAATTCTTATTAGTGCTTTCATTTATAAAGGACAAAGAATATAAAGTATACCTATCTGAAATATTTCTTCTCATGGTTAAAAATAATGTGGGGGGCTTTTGGGAGCGACGGGAGGAAAGGGGTCTTGTTTTTTGCTTTGCTGTCATAATCATGTTAGAGTTTATTAGGAAATTTTAAAAAGCAAGTGTAGGGATGTATTAGAGGGCATATAGAAAAATGCTGTAAACACATTTTAATTTGAGGGCTTCCTCTTAAGACTATCAGAAACAGTTTTGAAGACATGCGTCAACTTACAATACTAACAGAATTAGAAAATGTTTTCACTTCAGCTCTTTCCTTCAAGAAATTTTATCCAAAGTGCTTGTTATATCAGTCTGTTGTTACTTAAATTAAAAAAATGAGTAAAAACTTTTTAATCCAAATATGGTACATAATTACGTATCATAAGTTGACTAATTTGTTTAACAAGAAAACACTTGTAAATTAATCATTTTGTTTTATCTGTATATTAAATTTTGATACATTGTTTCTTTCTTTCTTATCAAGTGTTCTAATGAGGCGGTATTTGCAGCAGATTTTCATCCTACAGACACAAATATAATAGTTACTTGTGGAAAATCACACCTTTACTTTTGGACATTAGACGGGAACTCCCTTATTAAAAAGCAAGGATTATTTGAGGTAAAGTAGTGTATGCTCTTAACTTTTTCTTTTACAGCAATGCTATATGCATACAGCAATAAAGTTTATTTAAGGCTGAAATGAATCAAAACAACATGGTAATTAAACCTGCTATTTTATCATATTGTATTTTGTACAGCATTTGTAGTATATTAGTACATTAGCATAGCATGTGGCAATCATAGGCGGTTATCACTACAGCGAAGGTCAAAATCTGGTTTCCATTCTACCTTCTATGTTCTTGTTTTTACTTTCTCTTAATTTTCTCAAATTCCTTTTGGGTTGAAAGTTTCCATGTTTGGCCATAGCCCAAAGGTAGGGTTATTTTTTTTTTCCCCAAGGGTAATTTGAGAAATTGAGTTGCACATTTATGTGAACATGAATTTTCTTTCCCATATGTTCTTTTCAGATCTAAAGTTCTGCACATACATATTTCAAAAAGAGACAAAGCTAGAAATTCCACTCAGTCTATTTTGTAAATATCATTTTTACTTTAAAGCCTTGCTTTTTAAAAAGTAGGTCTGAACTCCACTTTCACTTTTGCAGTTCTGTTTGCATGCATAGGTACTACAGTTGCAAGCACAAATAAAATGTTTCTGCAATGGGAGGTTTCAGAGTAGCAGCCGTGTTAGTCTGTATCCGCAAAAAGAAAAGGAGGACTAGTGGCACCTTAGAGACTAACCAATTTATTTGAGCATAAGCTTTCGTGAGCTACAGCTCACTTCATCGGATGCAAAAGTGAAAGCTTATGCTCAAATAAATTGGTTAGTCTCTAAGGTGCCACTAGCACTCCTTTTCTTTTTGTTTCTGCAATGTGTACAGATGGCGACTACGGTGTCTAGTTAACCATTGGTTGTTTAAATTATCTCACTTGCATGTGCAGTCAAAGTAACTGCATTGAGAAATGTCAGCATGCATAATGTGTAACGTGTGTAATGGGGATGGATTATTAAAATTGTATTATGTTTAACTGTATTACATTCCCCTTTTTTCTGCACTTCAGCTTAACTCCTTGATGAAGCACAGGCCAGAGTTCTCTGTTTTCAGGACTTTTCAGAAAGCGTTACAGAGTTAAATCTCAGGGCTGAGCATAAAGGGGCATACAAATGTTTAGCATATCTGACACATAAATACCTTGCAATGCCAGCTTCAGCAGTGCCATGTGAACACCTGTTCTCACTTTCAGGTGATGTAAATAAGAAGTGGGCTGCATTATCTCCTGTAAATGTAAAGCAACTTGTTTTGTCTTAGTGATTGGCTGAAAAAGAAGTAGGACTGAGTGGACTTGTAGGCTCTGAAGTTTTACTTTTTTTTTTTTTGAGTGCGGTTATTTAAAAAAAATTCTACATTTCATTATAAAGAGATTGCCCTACAGTACTGGTAAGAGAAATTGAAAATTACTGTTTCTTTTATTTCTCTTTCTTACAGTGCAGATATTTGTAATAAAAAATAATATAAAGTCAGCGGTGTACACTTTGTATTCAGTGTTGTTGATTAACAGTGCAATTAAAACTGCAATTAATCATGGCTTTTTTTAATCTTGTGAATAACTAAACTTTTTTAACCGTTTGAGAACCTTACATTAAGTAAGTTTACTTGAGTAATTTTCTTCAACTTGGCTTGCTCAAGGAGACAGATTTTAAAAAATAGAAACCAACTGGAACACATATAGCCCACGTGCTTTATACTGCAGCATTTGAAATTTTTATTAGCCCAAAGAAAGGGAGAGAAGCAGTGGAGAGGCGACATGGATTTTTTTTACTGAATATGCTATGTTTTGTGCACAGGTCCAGAGAAACTTAGCTAGAGGGCACAGAAACATCCAAAAGTAGGGCATGGCAGTTACTAAGCATGCTCAGTAGCTGTTTGTGAAGCTGTATAAGAAGTTTTAATTTAGGGCAAGTTATAAACATTTTAAAGTTGGAGCTCTTAAATATGTGCCTTGACATTTTCTGTTTTTATTTTTAAATGCATTTTTAAGGATAGTCTCAGTTAAGCAGAGAAAGTATTACAGATGCATTTGTTACCTCCAGAACAAATATACCTAGAGCATCTAAGCCTCACAGAACTTCCTTAGGTTTCAGAGGAACAGCCGTGTTAGTCTGTATTCGCAAAAAGAAAAGGAGTACTTGTGGCACCTTAGAGACTAACCAATTTATTTGAGCATGAGCTTTCGTGAGCTACAGCTCACTTCATCAGATGTATACCGTGGAAACTGCAGCAGACTTTATATACACACAGAGAATATGAAACAATACCTCCTCCCACCCCACTGTCCTGCTGGTAATAGCTTATCTAAAGTGATCAACAGGTGGGCCATTTCCAGCACAAATCCAGGTTTTCTCACCCTCCACCCCCCCCCACAAATTCACTCTCCTGCTGGTGCTAGCCCATCCAAAGTGACAACTCTTTACATAATCAAGTCGGGCTATTTCCTGCATAGATCCAGGTTTTCTCACATCCCCCCCACCCCCATACACACACAAACTCACTCTCCTGCTGGTAATAGCTCATCTAAACTGACCACTCTCCAAGTTTAAATCCAAGTTAAACCAGAACATCTGGGGGGGGGGGGTTAGGAAAAAACAAGAGGAAACAGGCTACCTTGCATAATGACTTAGCCACTCCCAGTCTCTATTTAAGCCTAAATTAATAGTATCCAATTTGCAAATGAATTCCAATTCAGCAGTTTCTCGCTGGAGTCTGGATTTGAAGTTTTTTTGTTTTAAGATAGCGACCTTCATGTCTGTGATTGCGTGACCAGAGAGATTGAAGTGTTCTCCGACTGGTTTATGAATGTTATAATTCTTGACATCTGATTTGTGTCCATTTATTCTTTTACGTAGAGACTGTCCAGTTTGACCAATGTACATGGCAGAGGGGCATTGCTGGCACATGATGGCATATATCACATTGGTGGATGTGCAGGTGAACGAGCCTCTGATAGTGTGGCTGATGTTATTAGGCCCTGTGATGGTGTCCCCTGAATAGATATGTGGGCACAATTGGCAACGGGCTTTGTTGCAAGGATAAGTTCCTGGGTTAGTGGTTCTGTTGTGTGGTATGTGGTTGTTGGTGAGTATTTGCTTCAGGTTGCGGGGCTGTCTGTAGGCAAGGACTGGCCTGTCTCCCAAGACTTGTGAGAGTGTTGGGTCATCCTTTAGGATAGCTTGTAGATCCTTAATAATGCGTTGGAGGGGTTTTAGTTGGGGGCTGAAGGTGACCGCTAGTGGCGTTCTGTTATTTTCTTTGTTAGGCCTGTCCTGTAGTAGGTAACTTCTGGGAACTCTTCTGGCTCTATCAATCTGTTTCTTTACTTCTGCAGGTGGGTATTGTAGTTGTAAGAAAGCTTGACAGAGATCTTGTAGGTGTTTGTCTCTGTCTGAGGGGTTGGAGCAAATGCGGTTGTATCGCAGAGCTTGGCTGTAGACGATGGATCGTGTGGTGTGGTCAGGGTGAAAGCTGGAGGCATGCAGGTAGGAATAGCGGTCAGTAGGTTTCCGGTATAGGGTGGTGTTTATGTGGCCATTGTTTATTAGCACTGTAGTGTCCAGGAAGTGGATCTCTTGTGTGGACTGGACCAGGCTGAGGTTGGTGGTGGGATGGAAATTGTTGAAATCATGGTGGAATTCCTCAAGGGCTTCTTTTCCATGGGTCCAGATGATGAAGATGTCATCAATATAGCGCAAGTAGAGTAGGGGCTTTAGGGGACGAGAGCTGAGGAAGCGTTGTTCTAAATCAGCCATAAAAATGTTGGCATACTGTGGGGCCATGCGGGTACCCATAGCAGTGCCGCTGATCTGAAGGTATACGTTGTCCCCAAATGTAAAATAGTTATGGGTAAGGACAAAGTCACAAAGTTCAGCCACCAGGTTAGCCGTGACATTATCGGGGATACTGTTCTTGACGGCTTGTAATCCATCTTTGTGTGGAATGTTGGTGTAGAGGGCTTCTACATCCATAGTAGCCAGGATGGTGTTATCAGGAAGATCACCGATGGATTGAAGTTTCCTCAGGAAGTCAGTGGTGTCTCGAAGGTAGCTGGGAGTGCTGGTAGCGTAGGGCCTGAGGAGGGAGTCTACATAGCCAGACAATCCTGCTGTCAGGGTGCCAATGCCTGAGATGATGGGGCACCCAGGATGTCCGGGTTTATGGATCTTGGGTAGTAGATAGAATATCCCAGGTCGGGGTTCCAGGGGTGTGTCTGTGCGGATTTGATCTTGTGCTTAGAAATCTCAAGTGTTTCTGACAGTGTTTGCAGAACTTAATTTCTGAAAGCGATAGTAGCTCCTGATCTTTTTTCAGATGAATAAAAAGAAAATATTACAGTATTAATATTAGGACTAAGTCTAAATTGAATTAAATATATACAGCTAAAAGGAATGGATTGTGTGTTGCTGTAAATGTACTAATTCTCTACCATACAGAAACAAGAGAAGCCAAAGTTTGTCCTGTGTGTGACCTTTTCTGAAAATGGTGATACAATTACAGGAGACTCAAGTGGAAACATCTTAGTCTGGGGGAAAGGTAAGACCAGACAGATTATAACAGTGCATTATATACTGCATTGAAATAGGACAATTGTTTATTTTCCTTTGAGTGATTGTGCACGTATACGTTCCATTGTAGGTGTATGTGTGCCCAGTGCATTTGAGTCAGATAATTTTGACAGCAGTACCACTAGGCAGCACATGCGACCCTGCCCTCCTTGTGGTTAGAGCCAAGGGCATAAAAGAGGTGTGACCGCTGCCCTCTTTTCAGTTTCTTCTTATGGCAAGAATTGGATCTCTCCGTCACTCTTGAGCCTCGGTTAGCCAGCTTAGAAAGAGAATTTCTCCCTTTGTATATAATTATAATTCATTTAGTATCATTATAGTTTAGTAGGGAATTAGCTGACAGTGATTTTAGGGATTTTTGCAATGCAGAAATCCCCCGGATTTAAACAATGTGCCACATGCAGGGCTGTTATCCCTGTCACTGATAAACTTAAAGCTGCCTAATTTGTTAGGGAATTTGTCCTCCACATGTCTCGCCTAATCAGTTCCCTGTTCTCCATGAGATTTCTGTCTGAAGGTTCATCTCCTCTACAAGGTGATGTGTCCCTCTTCAGAGCCTGACCCTGACCACAAGAAAGTAGAGAGGTCCTCCCCTTGGAGTGCGCCTCTGGCTGCCACAGCTCCAAAGCTTAGATCTTCCTGTCTTGCGGCTTCATCAAAGCTTTCTGAGGCTGATAGGCCACACTCCTAATGTCACAAAAAGTCCTGTGGAGCCAAGGTGTCGGCACAAGCACCAACACTCATTAGTGCCATCTGAGGCGGAATTATTGACTCCAGCAGGGCCGCTGGGACTGGTGCCATCTCTGTTACCAGAGAGATCTTCAACCCTGGCACTGTCGGATCCGATACTAGCTCCCGTGGCTGCAAACTTACTTCTGTTGTTGGTGCTGTCAATGCTGCAGCCTTTCATGTGGCAAGAGACTTACTGTACCTCCTTTTGCTGTACTCACCTCTGCTGCATCAGCCAACTCTGCCTGCACCTACTTCAGCTCTGACTGCTCCTCCCTCTCAGTTCCATCAGCTCTTCCAGCACCTGCCATGACAGCTTCTGCATCTTCAGTCCAGTACACATCAGCACTGTCGACATCGACTCATCTTTCAACATTCTGTTCACCTTGTCTGCCTCCTCCGGCACTGTTGGATACTTCTTAAATGTCCGTATTTTGGGGGCAACATCATGTATTTCCAGGGGGTGTTGGAGATCTGGGCATAAGACTGACTAAGGAGAGTTATATTTCCTCCTTGTTGGACTCTGACCATGATAGACCTTTATTTCTGTCTGACCATGATAGACCTTTATTTCTTTCAGATCTCCATGCAGGTCTTATTCTAGGGATGCACGGCCCAGGGATTAAGATCACTACACTTATAAAGATGTCCAAGTATGGTGCCCTCCACCATGAGCACTACAAAAACTTGGGCCTTGTGGACTTCTCTAAGGCTCTCTGGATCTCCACCAACTACACAATCCAGGAGGAGTCACCTTCTCCAGCTCTTGTAGCTACTTGTGAAGCTCGATGAAATCACAAGGTCACCCCTTGACAGAATCCACAGACCAAGAGGTATCAACGGAGGAACCCCTGCATATTCCTCCTTGCATTTCTTCCTTTTCTCCAGATGAGGCAATCACACTGGAGTCAGCTTCACCTCCACCTGAAGACTTCAAGGTCTTTCAAGACCTCATGAGGAGAGTGGCTGCTTCTTTAGGAGTGCAGGCAGAACTTGTGCAAAATAGCTTGCACAACCTGTTAAATATCCTGCAGACTCCAATCCCCCCAGGAAGAGTTGTCCTTCCCATTAACCAGTCCCTACTGGAACCAAGCCCTTTGGCAGACACCAGCTTCAATTTGTGGGTGGATAGATGATATCAGGTTCCCCAGCAAGAATATGATTATTTTTTCATTCACCCTACAACAAGTTATAACAAGATTCCTTAGTTATTACTGTGGCAAATGAACTATTGAGGCAGTCACTCCCCAAGGCTACCCCAAAGACAGTTTGAGAGATTGGATTTACATGGTTGAAAGGCTGTACCACTGTGCTTCTTCAAATGAGAATCCCAAATTATCAAGCTTTATTGGCCAAGTATTCCTTTATTATTTGGTCTGCAATTTCTAAATATGCAAACAAGTTACCAGGGGATTATAAAGAGCAATTCTTAAAAACCTCCAGTGACAGGGATTTGACCATCTCCCTTGGAAGCATGTTCCAGTGCTTAACTGTCCTTATAGTTGGAAAGTTTTTTCCTAATAGCTAACTTAAATTTCCTTTGCTGCAGATTAAACTGATTACTTTTTGTCCTACCTTCAGTGGACATGGAGAACAATTGATGACTGTTCTCTTTATGACAGCTCTCAATATATTTGAAGACCGTTTTGAAGACAGCTCTTAATATATTTGAAGGGCTGTGTATGTTCTGCCCCCTCAATCCCATGCCCCAGTCTTCTTTTCTCAAGACTAAACATGCCAAGATTTTTCTAACCTTTCCTCATAGGTCAGGTTTACCAAACCTATTATAACTTTTGTAGGGCTATTCTGGACTTTCTCGAGTTTATCCACATCTTTCCTAAAGTGTGCCGCCCAGAACTGGACACTGTGCTCCAGCTGTGGCCTTATTAGTGCCAAATAGAGCGGGACAGTTACCTCCCATGTCTCACAGATGACATTCTTGTTAATACACCTCAGAATATTATTAACCTTTTTTGCAGTTGCAACAGATAGTTGACTCTTATTCAATTTGTGACCCACTATAACCCCCAGATCCTTTTCCGCAGTACTACTGCTTAGCCACTTATTCTCCATTTTGTATTAGTATATTTGATTTTTTCCTCTGAAGTATAGTACTTTGCCCTTGTCTTTATTGCATTTCATCTTGTTGATTCAGACCAATTCTCCAATTTGTCAAGGTCATTTTGAATTCTAATCCTGTCCTCCAAAGTGCTTGCAACCCCTCTCAGCTAAATGTCATCACAGATTTTATAAGCATACGCAGCACTCCATTGTCCAAGTCATTTAAGAAAATATTGAATAGTATCGAATTCAGGACAGATCTCTGTGGGACCCACTAGATACATTCTCTCAGTTTTACAGTGAACCATTAATAATTACTAAGGCTACGTTTTAGTCACAGGTATTTTTAGTAAACGCCATGGACAGGTCACGGGCCATAAACAAAAATTCACGGGCCTGTCCATGACTTTTACTAAAAATACCCACTGTGACTAAAATTTGGGCAGGAGGGCTGCGGGTGCTCTGGGGGGGCCGGGCCGGGGCCACCGCAGGTGCTGGTGGGGGGCAGGCCACCGTATGCAGCGTGGGACCCCACTGATGCTAGGGTAAGGAGGGTTGGCGGGGCTGTCAGGTGCTTCCTATCTGGCTCCGAGTCCCTGCAGTTCCTAGGCGGTGGAGGGGCCAGGGCAGGGGCTCCACTGCTCCCACCACAAGCACCAGCTGCTGAAGCTCCCATTGGCCAGGAACCACAGCCAATAGGAGCTGCAGGGGCAGGGCCTGTAGGGGCGGGCAGTGTGCGGGACAGAGACCTCCCCGGCCCCTCCGCCACCTAGGAGCTGCCAGGGGACCTTACCTTGGGGTGGGGAACTCCCCAGCTCCCACTGGCGAGTGCCACCCCCTGCATTCTCCAACCCCCTGCCCCTAACCCTGAGCCCCATCCCACACACCCAAACTGCTGCTGCTGCAGAAGTCACAGAAAGTCACAGAATCCGTGACTTTCCATGACCTCTGTGACACACTCGCAACCTTAATAATTACTCTTTGAGTATGGTCTTGCAATCAGTTATGCACCAAAATTATAGTAATTTAATCTAGATCACATTTCCGTAGTTTTGTTATGAGAAGGTCATGTGGGATTATGTCAAGGGCCTTACTAAAATCAAAAAATATCATGTCTATGGCTTCAATCCATTCTACAGTTGCCCTGTCAAAGAAGTAAATTAGATTAGTTTAGCATGATTTTCTTCTTGGCAATCCATGTTGGTTATTACATATTAACCTGTTATACTCTAGGTCAGGGGTTCTCAACCATTTTCCTTCCGAGGCCCCCTGCAACATGCTATAAAAACTTCACAGCCCAGTGGGGAAGGGAGGGACTCCAGACTCTGGGCCAAGTTGGGGGGCCCTCAGACATAGGTATAGTTTGACTTCTATTTAGGGGGAATGGGGGCCGATGGGGCTCGGGCCAGCTCTGCATGGCGGGATCCAGGGAGGGAGCTTCACCTTTACCCTCTGACTCATCTCAGCAAGCCACCCAGCCTGTCTTGGTTGTGGGGGAGGGCAATCAAAAATTATAACTCATCCTGAGGGAAGAGGGGACTCAGTTCAAAAAGTTTGAAAACCACTCACGGTGCAGAGATAGGGTAGCTAGGGACTGTGCAGGCAGGGGGGTAGCTCAGAGTGCAGGGAGGGTAACTAGGGGCTGTGTGCAGGCAGAGTGAAGCTCAGGGTGCAGGGAGGGGGTAGCTAGGGGCTGTGTGAGGGCAGCGGGTAGCTCAGGGTGCAGGGAGGGGGTAGCTAGGGGCTGTGTGAGGGCAGCGGGTAGCTCAGGGTGCAGGGAGGGGGTAGCTATGGGCTGTGTGAGGGCAGCGGGTAGCTCAGGGTGCAGGGAGGGGGTAGCTATGGGCTGTGTGAGGGCAGCGGGTAGCTCAGGGTGCAGGGAGGGGGTAGCTGGGGCTGTGTGAGGGCAGCGGGTAGCTCAGGGTGCAGGGAGGGGGTAGCTATGGGCTGTGTGAGGGCAGTGGGTAGCTCAGGGTGCGGGAAGGGGGTAGCTAGGGGCTGTGTGAGGGCAGCAGGTAGCTCAGGGTGCAGGGAGGGGGTAGCTAGGGGCTGTGTGAGGGCAGTGGGTAGCTCAGTGTGCAGGCAGAGGGTAGCTAGGGGCTGTGTGCAGGCATGGGAGTAGCTCAGAGTGCAGGGGGGGGTAGCTAGGGGCCACTGGGAGTTGTGGGCGGCTGTGCCTGT